ATGTAATTATTAAAAATCTAAAATAAATAAGAAAAAAAATTCTTCAAAGCATAAAAATTCGCTCCTTAATAATTAGTAGATGTGAAAAACTACCACTGAAATCTACCTGATGACTTTATATCCATGCTCAGATGCCAAGGGGCTCAGAAAGTAACTGACTGACTAGTAATAATCAGATATATAGAGATTAAAAATGCATGTTCATCTTAGTGTCAATTGTATTAAAAATAAATTTTTTTGTATGAAGCTGTGTATTTTAATAATGAAATGGAGATCTTTTATAGTTTAAAACCTCATTTAATTTTATGTCTTACAGGGTTTATACTGAGCACAATATTGTATAACTGTATTAATTCAACTGTAAACCTAAAAATTTACAGCCAATTTTGTAAGAGATGCATCTTAGCAATGGAAATTGTTATTGAATATGTCAATGCTGTTGTAATGAAATGCTTCTTCTAATTATATGGTTATTAAATAATTTTAAAAAAACAAAAACAACTATGTAAGTATATTTTGCGTCAATTCTATGTGTTATTTGATTCAACTCAAATACTATGACACATAGTATCAGTCACCTCACTGGTACACCAAGTTCATGTCTACTAATTGATTAAATATTTTTATTATCCCATTTGTTCATTATGTGTGTATATGGGTAGGTCAGAGGGAAACTTGCGGGAGTTGGGTTCTTCCCTTCCACCATGTGGGTCCTAAGGATTGAACTCATGTGGTTAAGTTTGGTGGCAAGTACCTTTACCCACTGAGCTATATTGCTTTTGTTAAAAATTTCAAGAGGATTATATCTAGCTCATAATATATTCCTAGAGAGTTCAATTTATTTAACATGCCCATCTCCATTATTCCACTCCTATAAGTTTCTCAAGAGCAGGGAGTCTGTTATTTATCTACTTCAACATCCAGTGTAGTGTCTGGCACATAAGCAAATGATTCATAAATGTGTAGTAAACTAAACTGAAAGTGTACTTAATTTTTCACACCTCTTCTCTTCCCAGTATATTCTTCTATATAATTTTCTACTGCAAAAACTTAACTCTATTTAGATTTTTCAATGCAAAATTTCACATTCACTTCTGGTAGATATACATACATGTAAAAATCAACTTTTAAGTCTTTCAAAATACTAGGCTCAGGCCTGTAATTGGATATGTCTAAGTAATACTGCACAAAATGACCCCTGTCCCCATCCTTGTAAGAAAACTGAGTATAATACACAAAATAATGATCTGAAGTTACTGAAGAATGAGTAAATACTAAAAACTTGAAGAGGCATTCAGAGCCCCCTTTCTCCTCTGCAGCCTTTCCCTGAGGGTGCGTGCACTCTGACCTGCACACTTGAGACAACACACAGAAAGACCCCTAGTCTTTCCAGCCTAAGGGAATGAGAAATTGAGATACCAAGAATGGGGGAATGGGGAGCACAGGCCTTAAATTCCAGCACTCAGGAGGTAGGCAGATATCTTTGAGATTGAGCCTAACCTGATCTATATAAGGAGTTCCACACCAGCAGGGACCACAGGGAGACCCTGTCTTAAAAACAAAACAAAACAAAAGAATGGAAGGCTGAGGATGTAGTTTAATGGTATAGCAATGTAGTTCAATGGTATAGCACTGCCTAGTATGCACAAGGCTCTGGGTTCAATCCCAGAACAGACTCTACAGTGTTGCCCTGTGAGTTCCACATGTGCATTCTCACATATACACACACATGTGCACATGTGCATGAACATTCATGCACAAATAAATCAACAAAAATGTAATTCAAAAAAAAAAAAAGAATTGGGCTGGAGAGATGGCTCAGCAGTTAAGAGCACTCACTGGCTGCTCTTACAGAGGACTTGGGTTCAGTTCCTATCACCCACATGGCAGCTAACAACTGTCTGTAACTCCAGTTCTAGGGGATCTGATGCCCTCTTCTAAGCTCTGCAGGTACTGCATGACAAAGGTGCAGTTACACACATGCAGGCAATACACTCATACACATAAAATTAAAAAGAATAATAATAGAAAAGAAAATGAATACCTGTAAGTGTTTTTCCTGCATTCAGAGGAGGAGCGATGACCCTGAAAAGTTTCTAAATTAAAGCAGAAAGTTAATCATTCTAAAGAATAATGAAAAAGACAAGACTAATCAGTTATTAATCACCTGTCTTTGGTGAAATAGTCATTTGCTGTTGAGATTTAAATATAAGAACTTATATGTATAAGAACAGTCTAGAAAGATCACCAAGGACACATCATTGTTATATTCTTCACTGAAAGAAACTGTTTGACAAAAATCAGCTACATGAAGTTCTTTATCCAGATTATAATTTCTGATATAAGGTATCTTAGGCTCTTAAAAGAACTTTATTCTTTAAAACAAAACAAAAAAGTAATCAAATGAAGGAATTAATATCCCACCAAAGTGGTAATGAAGAATGCTTTAAAATGGAAACATCTAAATAATTGTAGCCACAGGGAAAAAAAAAACATTACCTAAAACAGTAAGCAGAGCATCCCCAAAATATAATTGTCTGCTGGATATGGTAGTACATGCCTTGAATCCAGTACTTTCAAGGCAGAGGCAGAGGCAGGCCTGGTCTACAAAGCGAGTTCCAAGTCAGGCAGGGTTATGAAATAAGACCCTCTCTTGAGTGCTGGGATGACAGGTATATGCCACCAAATCCAATCCATAATACACACACACACACACACACACACACACACACACTTTTTATTTTTGGAGACAGGGTCTTACTTGGTAACTCAGACTGGTCTAGAACTCACAGCAATCCTCCTGCATCAGCCTCTGAGTACAGGAATTACAAGCATGAGTCACTATGCCCAACATTCCTGTTTTGAAGAAGACTGACTGACTCTTAGCACCAAGAAGTACAAATTCATCTATCTGTTAGCATTAAGAAGCACAAAAAAAGTGGAGCACACATCTGTAATTCCAGCTTTTCCCAGATACTCAGGCAGCTGAGAGAGGAGTATCCCAGGAGTTAGAGGCTAGCCATCATGGAAAGATGCTCCTGTTACTTAAAACAAAGCAATACAAAAATACTTCCATCCTGGATCCCCAATGGCCCTTTGCTCCCTTTTTAACCCGTTAGGTATAGCAACCTTTACTTCTGGCTATTCATACAACTAATCATTGCTGGGAGTTCCCATACACAGGTGGATAATCATCCTTGCTCCTATTATTCTATGTTACAGCTCCTTTCCCACTGGCTGCCTTAATGGCCTACCACCACTGGGACATAAATTGGTAGAGGAAAAGATTGTCCTCCCGACACAAGGCACCAGAAAGATCTCATACTGTCTTTCATCCAGATTAATTTCAAAAGATGCAAACTTTATCTTGGTGCAGATCTCTTCAAGTGGTTTCCTTACAGAGAGAATTATTTTTAAAAATAATTCATTGGAGGCACCTACCTTCCACTGTTCACATCTCTGAATGACTATTTAAAAACAAATACCTGATGAAAGCCACCGAACTTGAAAAAACTTTAAACAAACAATGAGACTAACGCAATAGCTCAATGCTTCATTTGAAATGTAGAGTCACAAATGTAAACCAGAGTATGAGGAATAAAAGCCATACAAAACAAAAATTTTAAAGTAACATTGAAAAAAACATCAACTGGGCTGGAGAGATGGCTCAGCAGTTAAGAGCACTGGCTGTTCTTGCAGAAGACCCAGGTTCAAAGCCCAGCACCCACATAGCAACTAATAACTGTCCATAACTCCAGTTCCAGGGGATCCAACAGCCTCCTCTTCTGTCCTCCACAGGCATTGTACAACATGGGTGCACTCACCTACAAGCAGACAATACATGCATACACATAAAATAAAAATAATAAATAAAATATTTTTTAAAGCATCAACATTAAAATTTTTTTTAATTTTTTAGATTTATTTCTACATGTATGCATGTGCCCCAGTACACATGTGGAGGTCAGAAGACAACTTCTAAGAGTGGGTTTCTCCTACCATTTGGGGTCCAGGGATCGAACTCAGGTTGTCAAGAGCCTTTACCCACTGAGCAACCCAACCCAATCCCAGTAACTATTTTTCTGTTGATGTAGAATGAATGCTTCAAATTAGAATTGGTTGAGGGGTTATTTTGAGAAAAAACTAGAAACTGCATTAATTCTTTCTAAATGTGGTCTGGTAGGGGCCCAGAGCATATTTTACATAGGGGAAACTACTGAGCCTTACTGAGGAGGCAGCTGAGGGTTAAAGGAAAGAACAAATTCTTGACATTATCAAAAACTGGGGACAAAACAGGGGAAGAGGAATGTGGCACTAAGTTTAGCCACTGACAAAAAGAAAAGTGTGACCAAAACTAAAGCTAAATTAAAGAAACCTGAATTTTCACAGAATGACTACTGACTAAATAATATTAAAATTAGCTTTAGAATTAACTTTAGGGAGCATTGCTGGATGCCATCAGTAAACCCTTGCTCTCCTCTTCAGGTACCTTTACCACTACTGTGAGTATCAATGGCTGAAAAGGCAGAAGCTGAATCTGTAGCCCATTATCCAAAGTTCTCACCAGTTTATAGCAAGAAACAAGATCAATGCAATAGAAGCCATATTCTCCTGGTAAGAAGAAGAATAATACCAAAATGAATACTATCAAATTCTGGTAAAGCATTAGCAGTTCACAAATAATTAGTTCTTACCACTTTCAGGACCTCCCCATTGAATGTAGCACTGCCCAACAGCACTTTATTATATGCAACAATTTTATCAATTTTTATACCTTCTGAAAGTTACTATAGTACAAATAAAAAGCAGTAGAACAAAACTTAATGTTAACAAGTTCCATCCATTATTCCCTGATATTTAATATTTACATATGCAGATAAACAAAAAGCAGTAACAGAGGTAAAATATTAAAAGACTGTGGAGGCTGAGGGCATAGTTCTGTGGGAGAGCGTGTACAGCATATAAAAGGTTCAATCATCAGCAACAAAAAATAAAAATGCACCACCTAAAAGTCCCAAGCTAAGGGCAAGTGAGATAGATGCTCAGCAGGTAAAAGTGCTCTGGTGACTGAGTCTGATCCCTAGCACCCACATGGTGGAAGGAAAAAACCAACTCCCACACTAGTTATCTTTTGACCTCCATATGCACACAGTGTCTATATGCTTGCATGTGCTGTGTGCAGGAACACACACACACACACACACACACACACACACACACACACACACACACACACACACACACACACACACACACACACACACACACACACACACACACACACACACACACACACGCACACACACACAAAATCAATGTAGCTAAAATGGGTACAAATTTGATAAACTAATAAGAAATTTTAAAAGGATTAGATGAAAAGAAACTACTCAAAGCAAACGGACAGAGGGGAAAAAGGAACAGACAATACTAAATTGTGTATCAAGTTAGTCTCTTACCTCCATTGGGCTAATAAACTCATTCATGCCTCTGTTGTAAACATAGACCGTGGCATCATATAAACGATTTTCCCAGCACATGAGAACTACCTGTAAAAGGAAAAGTCACTTGATCCATACAATTCATTACTATCATAGCCATTATTTTCCTTAAAACTTTAGTGAAGTTCTCTTTCCTAATTTTTCTTATTCCTTCTCTGATAAAATCTGAAATCTTAATACTCAAACACACTGGACAAGTGTTACTGCAGGTTCAATATTACTTTAAATAGCACAACAGGTACTTTTAAATATCCTTCAATGTTTAATTTTCTTTTGTATCCTTCCCTTTTCAATATTCATTTTTTAAATATTTATTATTTTTATTTTATGTGTATGAATGTATTGCCTGCATGTATGTGGGTGTACTCGTGTCGTGCAATGCCACAGAGGTCAGAGGAGGGCTTCAGATTCCCCTGGAACTGCAGTTAAGGATGGTCCGTAGCTGCCATGTGGGTGCTGGGAATTGAACCTGGGTCCTCTGCAAGAGCAGTCAGTGCTCTTAACTGCTGAGCCATCTCTCCAGTCCCTCATTTTATTTTTAATAGTTACAAAAGTTCTTCAAGTATTTACAGAACACCTATATTTAGGCCCTCTCCATGGCACTGGGATAAAGTGATGAATAAATCCAGACCAAGGTTCTACCCTCCTACAACTGACATTCATCTTGCACACTCACCAGAGAAGAATGAAGGAAAAAATGTTTTGAGATCAAACTTGGAGAAGCTATTCAACAGACACATATCATTATTCACAATTGTGACAAGAATTACAAAGGGACTTGACTTGGTCTTTAGTGTTCAAAGTCACCCAGAGGGAATAATACGGAAGAAAGGACACTTCCATCTGAGCCAAAAGAAGTGGAAATGAGCACAATGTGTTTAAACAAAGGGAGAAACCTGTTTGAGAAAATACTTAGGAAAGGGAAGAGATGACTAGCAGTCTGGGGTACTCTGTTCTGTTCCTGTGTGTGCTATTTCATAGCAACCCCCAACAAAAGAACTGGAGGAAAAGAACAGTTGACAGAGAGGACAGGGAGCCAGCGGCATAGGCAGAAAAATGAAAAGTGAGGTGTTTCTGTAAGAAGGCATGTTCTAGCCTTTTTCTACAGTCTCTCTCAGGTAGTGCCATGATCATAACTCTCCTCACTGATGACTAGCACACAGCTTCAGCCCTAACCTCCCTCTGACCCATCTAGCTAGTTAGTATCTTCACCAAAATATCTAGTAATTACCTCAAAACCAAATTGCAAAGAAACACTCCTGATTTTGTCCATCAGACTCAGACTTGCAGGTCTTCCAATCATCTTCAAATAATCACTACCCATCCCATTTGTAAAAGAGAAAAGTAAACCAAAAGACAAAACAAGAAAAGCGCATCTTTTAACTCTCTCATTCTCACACTCCCACATCCAACTTAGCAGCAATTAAATTCTACCTCCAGCAATTCAATTATCCATAATGAAGCTGCCCTTCTCCACCCCACAGCTGCCATCTCAGCACCAGGATGATTTTGCTTAAAATATAAGTACTTTATACAGCACTTAGAACACAATGGAAACGTCTCTTGTCCTGAAAGGTTTATTCTCTTCTGTCACTGCTTGCCTTTTTTCCTGTCACTCGAACACTCAAGGCAGAATCCTCTTTCCCCTTTACATTGGCTTTTACTTATAATAATCTTCTCACCCAAAATAACTGCAGTACTGATTTTCATCTTTTCTTTTAAGACAGAGTCACTTGTCTCCCAGGCTGGCCTAAACTCATCGTATAGCCAAGGATGGCCTTGAACATTGATTCCCTTGCCTCCACCTCTCACATGCTGGGATTTCAGGCATGTACCACTACTTTCAGTTTTCTGAGACCTTCTTGTCAGATGCTGAGATTCAATGACACAATGTTGTCAACTAAGAAAGGCTTTCTATAGTTAGGCAACATAAGGTAGTCTCTTTCTCTCTACCATATTGTCCTTTTTGATTTCTAATGTGACACTCTGGATATTTCGTTTACTTGTCTGTTTATTGCCACACTTTTTTCCTTGAATTTAAGCTTCATGAGAAGATAGCTCTGTTTAGCAGGACAGCTGCATTACCCTCAGATCCTGACATCCACTAAGTACTTCTTGAAGGAATCAACAAATGCTGCAAGTAAAAAATAAGGATCAAAAAATGTTATTCAGGGGCTAGGAAGATAGCCTCAGTCAGTAAAGTCGTTGCCACCCAACATAAGGACCTGAATTTGATTCCCAGTACCCACGTAAAAACCCAGGTGTGGTGGTACATGCTTGTAATCCCAGCCCTGGTGGGGTGGAGACACAAGGACCCCTAGGGTTTACTGGCCAGCCAGCCTAACCTAATCAGAGAGCTCTAGGTCCTAGTGAGAGACCCTGTCTCAATAAGAAGGTGGATGCTTCGGAATAACACCTAAGATTGATCTTTAGCCTCTACATGCATACACACACACACACAGATATACAAAATATTATTCAATATAGTCAATATAGTGAGGAGAAGTGTTTACTAACTCTAGTGAAAGCAAAGCTGAGAAGTTATTAGTATGTGAAACAAATGAAAATGGCAACCCAGATACTGTTTTCAAAGATTTGTTGTGACTGGCAAAGGAGTTGGTAACTTGAAGGAAGAGGGGCAGGCATGACACGGAGAACTGAGTTATTAAGAACTGAAAGATTATCGTGGGACCCTCAGCCATACTATCAAACAACAAGCTGTTCATTCATGTTCAGAAGTCCTGAATCTGCCTTTCATATAATCCCCTCCATTTCAAAACTCAACTCTGCTTTTATATTCTAGTTGTTTTAAAATGGCATCATTTCCTTAAATGTAAAACTACTCTATTATTCATGAGAAAGTACCCATTACTGAACATGACCTATCAGATGAAAGCCATGTTAGTGAACAAACTGAATAAGGGTCAGTCAAGAAGCATCCATTAAGCAACTAATAAATATAAATTCTGTGCCATGAGCTATGGAGAATATCAACAATAGAAAACATAATCTCTGGCTTGAGGGCAGTGACTAACTTTTACTCACATAAAGTCTTAAGAAATGTATCAACTAATAAAGGGGCTCAATAATAGGGGTTCACAGAAGAAAGATGAAGGCCTTATCAGTCAGTTGCAAATACAATCAAGGAAGGAATGATCCTTGCTCTGCGAATTGGCATACAGCCTGTAAACTCACCTGCTGAATGTCTAGGCTGGTGATATCCATGTGAACAATGAGGGCTTCCACATTTTCCATCAACTTTTTATCTTGGAAATGAACAATCAAGTCTTTCATGACCTGAGGTGTAATCCCAACCAATTTGTCACTTAAAATATATGGCTCAAGGCATTCCAAAAACACTCCTTTTGCCACTGAATTCTCACTTAATTTGTCATACATTTGGCTAAATAAAAGATCCCTATAACAGAAAGAAAAATGCAATAATTTTAGAAACATTCCAAATAGCCATTAAATTTAGTCTAAGTATGTCACACCTTTTCCAAATTTCAATTTATTCATGAATCTATTAAAAACAGTAACCATGTTTACATCTAGCTTCACATTGCAAAACTGTACTCAACACTCAAAAGAAGTATACCAACCCTTCTTTTACACATAAGACATGTTGCCAGAAATGGTGGTGTACTCCTTTCATGCCAACACTCAGGAAGCTGAGGCAAAACGATTTTGAGTTTGAGGCCTGCCTGAGCTAAAACCAAACAATGCAAACAAAAAACAGGGCCAGAGAGATGGCTCGGTGGGTAAGAGTGCTTGTCACCAACCACCTGCTAGAAGAGAAATGACGCCTATAATCATAAATTATGCATGGTGTAGCACCACGTACCTTCCCCTAACTGCAAAATAAACATATAAATAAATATAAAAACAAAGTCGACAAGGTCAGGATGCTTCCTGGAAGGTACACGGGAAACACCAGCTACAATGTGAACCCAGCCCTCTGGCCTACATCCAAGTTCAGTCTCTTAGGATGAACGCACTGCTTCTTCAAGCAGTCACACCTACACAGGAGTCCGTAAGAGGAGACTTGAGGAAACAGGAAAATGTAAGGGCTACTTGCCCTTTCCCTTTCTAGCATCTGAGTATTTCTATCGACCTGAAGATTCAATATGCTTCAACTTTAACTCTAACCCTTCAGTTCCTATGGAATTAGGCAATGACCCCGGCGGAAAAAAGAGGAAAAAGTTTAACCTTCAAATCCATACCCATAAACACTTTTATTGCAGAAACATTCTAAAAATTATTCTAACTGCTACCACCCTCAGCAACTGTGCTTTACTTATTAATATTCATTCTGTAAATAGTCCACAGAAAACTTAAGTTATGCTCAGAAGAAATGGTGTTCTGAATTCTGTTTTTATGCAACATCACAAGGTAAGGATTATTCTATGCTGCTACTTAATCTTGTTCAGCAGTCTGTAGTTTTGTTTGTTTTTGTTCTGGGGATTGAACACTGGCTTCTTGAATAGTAAGCAAGTGCTCGCTCTACCACTATTCTATATACCTAACCCTCTTTTTAAATTTACGTGTGTGTGTGTGTGTGTGTGTGTGTGTGGTACACAACAGGGTCTCACTAAGCTGTCCAGGCTGTCCTTGAACTGCAATCCTCTTCCTGCTTCAGTCAAACAAGTAGCAAAAAGTACTCTGTGCCACAGGGTCTGGTTTGAGTTCACACTTTCATGTTATTCATTGAATTTTATTTATTTATTGCTTTTAAATGACAAATAATGTAAAGGGTAGTGTGGTATTTCAATCCATGTATTCAATACACACGATCAGATCAGGGTTAACTGGCGTACCTATTACCTCAGACACTCACTATTTCTTCAAGTTGGGAACATACAATGAATTCTGTCAATCAAAGTTGTCCCGTGATACCCGTACCTCCATCTGTTTTAGCAATCTTCACTTCATCCCCCATTCTAATCCCTTTCCAGCCTCCTGTACCAACTGTCTGATCTATATCTCTGAGGTCAACTTTTATGTAGGAAAATGGAGAATTATTTCACTTAATAAAAAATCCTCCAAGCTCAGCATATTGTCATAAATGACAAAGATTTACTTTTTTAATGGCTGAATAGTATTTCATTGTGTATATACACTACAATTTTGTCTCCATTCACAGACCTCTCAAGAAGTTGAATCCTTACCTTAGCTATCGAGAATGGTGCCTTGATCAACATGGGGGTGAACACACTCGTTTCCTTCCCTTTGAACATACACCAAACAGTAGAACTTTTGGATCACATGGCAGGCACTTCTATTTCTAAATTTTTTTTTTAAGAATCTCTACACTGCTTTCCATTTTAGCTGTTTAAATTTATATAACTGAGAGTGTTCCCCTTCCTTTGAATTACTTTCTCTTTAATCATTTTGTCTAATCCATAATGCTTCAGTATGCTGAATATCAGAATTTGCTTAACTGCCCATGTAGTGTTGGACATGTCACTTATCTCCAATATTGTCACAATGAAAATCTGCTCTTACAGCCTCTCCCAATTTGAAGGTACAATTACTTAGTCATTGGAAATTTAGAGATTTAAATGAAAAGATAAGAGGGCTGGGTTTGTAGCTCAATAGCAGAATACTTGATTAACATGCATGAGGCCTTGGGTTTGAGCCCAGCACTGGAAACAAAAGAGGAGAAAGCTAAGAAAAAATTGTGCTTGAAATGTATCTTACTACATTATGTTCAGAAAGTATCACATCACCAATTTACAATGCCACCAGCAATATATCATCATACAAAAATGTTGAAATGTTTTCCTAATAAGTACAAATTACATAACATTGTTGTTCTTAATTCTATATTAACTAGCAAAAGTATTTTCTATGTTTCCTTTAATAAACTGTAATTTTCCTGAATCATTCACATACTCATTTCACTTTTTAAAAATATAACAATCATGCTAATTCCATTGGCTTGTTAAAATCATTAATTTATTTTTTTCTAATATATACTATCTTTAAAAGTATATCATGTCAGCTGTGGAAAATGGCATATGGGAAGTTTATTCACATATGACATTTCATGACAAGTTCCAAAACAGTCAAAGATGCTCCTCCACAGAGTTGGATGGGTTTTGCTTTCTCTGAAGTCTTAGAAGGGGGTCCTGTGAAAATCAGTCTGGTTGTAACTATCTCAAGATAGTATGAACCCTCTAACACGCAGCAAGACCCTAGGAGAAAATCCATATGCACTTCTCTCTTGAATGCACAATGTAATTCCCCCACACTTCCTATACTTCAGAGTACTTTTCATGATCATTTCATTTTTGTCAGTAATTCATCACATTTTTTTGTGATTAGCAATTACCGCCCAAGCAAAAGAAACTGAGATTAATGAAATGGACCTGGAGAGACAGCTCGGTGGTTAAGAGCACTGGCTGCTCTTGGAAAGGACCCAATTTCAGTTCCCAGCACCCACATGGCAGCTAACAACCATCCTAACTCCAGTTCCAGGGGATCTGGTGCCCTCTTCTGGTCTGTGCAGACATAGCACAACATGGGTTCACTACATGCATGCAGACAATACACTCATACACATTATGGTAAGATGGGAAGTAGACAGGAAAATTCCAGAAGTTTGTGAGAGGCAGTCTCAAACAAGGTGGAGTTGTCCTCTGACCTATATACACATTCCATGGCACATGGGTACCTGTACTCATACTCACACAAACATTCACAAAGATTTAAAACACTAATGAATTCACAGAAAATGGCATATTGCTAGCCCTTGTACTGTGCAATATTCTTCTGGAACTAAAGTCAAGGACTGTTATTAGCTGCCATGTGGGTGTTGGGAATCAAACCCAGGTCTTCTTAAGAGCCAGTGCTCTTAAGGGCTGAGCCATCTCTCCAGTCCCCATGAGCAATATACTGTTAAAAGCAGCATGCTATGACAGGTAATTATATATTTTATTTCAGTACAAGAAACTTTAGGAAGAGAATAAAGAAAACTAAAAATTCAGGAAACAGCACCAAAGTTGATAGAAAACACAGTTCTGTGATGCAGGACTGCATATGATGCTTGTAAGATTAATGGCAAGACTATATATTTCTTTCCTAAACATTCAGAGGCTATGATAAAGCAAGAAAAACTAGAATTACCAATTCCTACCTGTATCTCTACCTCAAAATAAAAATGAAACAAAATTCTACAACATGTTACTAGGGCATTAAGAAAGAAGAAGAGAGAAAGGCACACATGGGTTGTTTCTTTATAAACTTAGGCATTATTCTCTAGGGTGCTGACTTTGTTTCCTAGATGGCCCTACTGTTCACCGTTTCTAGCTTAAACTCCTACAAAACAAAGTCCATCATGAATAACAGGTGAGGTCATTCCATAGACTTCACTTTTACTAATACTCATATTTGTAAAGATATTTTAGAGTTTATGATTTTACTTCAAACAAGAGAAAATAGTTACATTCACCTTGTAATTATCAATTTTATAGTGCTTTTTTCTTTTCTTTCTTTTTTTTTGGTTTGTTGTTGTTGTTGTTCTTTTTGAGATACAGTCTTTTGATAGGCCCAGCTGGCCTGAACTTACACATTTTTAAATGTGAAAAACTGCTTTGACAGTAATGACAAATTCTGAAACTAAAAAGAACCTGGGCACTGTCAAACAGCATAGTTGTCAGTCTATACTACCTAATATAACCAGAACCACATATTAAAAGAATAGTGCAGGAGCTGGAAAGAAGGCTCAATGTTTAAGAGCACTGGTTGTTCTTGCAGAGCACTGACTGCTCTTGTGAAGGACCCAGGTTTGATTCCCACACCTACATGACAGCTAACAACCATTCATAACTCCAGTTCCAGGGGAATCTGACATCCTCTTCTGACCTCCATGGGCATTGCGTGACATGGGTGCACTTACGTGCATGCAGGCAATACATTCATATACATTAAAAAAAATAAATAAAATATTTTTTAAAAGACTACTGCAAGCCCAATGGGCTTATCAAAATATTTCTGGCTCAGATTCCTATAAAGCTCAAGTCATTTGAGTTAAAATTCAATTCAGAAATTATTTACAGTTATGTAAATTCAAAGTGGTCAGCACTATTATTGCATGGAGAAACTGTTTTCAGTTTTATCATTTTTTAAATTATCTATTTAATAACCACATACTTAGAAGAAGCATTTCATTACAACAGCATTGACATATTCAATGACATTTTCCTGAGCTAAGATGCATCTCTTTCAAAATTGGCTGCAAATTTTTAGGTTTACAGTTGAATTATTATAGTTACACAATATTGTACTCAGTATAAACCCTGTAAGACATAAAATTAAATGAGGTTTTAACCTTTAAAAAAGATATCTCCATTTCATTATTAAAATACAGTTTCATACAAAAAATCATTTTTAATGCAATTGACATTAAGATGTTTG